TAAAACATTTCTATGCTGCCCCCATCGCAACAAAGCCTCGGGGCGGCTCACAACAAAACAAAAGCATATAAAAATTATACAATAAAAATATTAAAACCCGGTGCATCTTGGCTTAAAATTTAAAAAAAACCTACATAATAAATTAACAATTAAAATAAGTTTTAAATAAAAAGGTCTTAGCCTGGCGCCGAAAAACAAATAACGACGGCGCCAGGCGGACCTCTCTGGGGAGCGCATTCCATAGATGGGGCGCCACCGCAGAGAAAGCCTTCCGGGTACTCACCCTCCTAATATCATTCACAGAGGGTTCCCGGAGAAGGGCATCTGTTGCTGATCTCAAGGGGCGGGAGGGCATATATGGACGCAAGCGTTCCTTTAGATACCCAGTTGGTTTTGTAATGAGGATGGTACAGGTGTAACACTTTCTGACTAGGTTATGGTTGTAGAATTAGGAGGTCACTTGAACTTAATTTCTGATTCTGTAACGTAGCCTACTTCCATTAAGACTACGTAAGTGGATGGAAGGAACTGAGAATAAACTTTTAATGGTAGTATCTAATACCTGAAAAATTAGTTTGTTCTTAATTTCAGCTGTGTGCAAATGTTTATTTTTATCTTACCAGATGTATTCATTTAATATTTTGATTTAAGTCTTCTCTAACCTACTGTTACAGACTATGTGCTATTTTACAGAAAAACATTAACTCTTCCAATACTTTGCTTGTAGTCTACATCATCATCTTCGCCTCTTACATCTTCTTGGCTTGGTGAATCTGAAAGAACTCAGGGAGCATATTCTTCAAGGCTTCATAACCAGCAACAGGATACTGATTCTAAAAGACCCAAACTTTCTTATACATCTACCTCTAGTGTGAGAAGTAATGGCTTAAACACAGTCTCAGGTATGTAATGTGCTGAAGCTATAAACAGTGTATTATCTTCATCTTGCTTATACCAAAGCTTGGTAACCCTCATTGCATAAGCAGAGGATCACACGTATCCCCCAGATCACATTTTGTAGTTTAATTTGCACATAAGCAGTCGCACCAATTAGTCCTTCTAGGACACTGTGTTCTCCTAGACACAAAGTGTCGTGGCTAGACCATCCCAAAATTTCAGCCTTCGCTCTTTAACATTCCCCCCCCCCATAAACCAAAACATGTCCAGGGCACAAAAGTACCCCAGAATCTCCTTAGGAACAGTTGTATGGTATTGTATTATACCCTAAACAATAGGCTGCAAGCAAAGGAACCAAAGAAGATTCAATGAGTTATAATCATTAGTGTCCTTCCACTGTCAAAGGACTCTTCCATCCAAAGAATGAGGAAGAAGGTGATTTTCTTTGATTTTCCTTGCACCTTGTGCCACCTCCCACATGGTTCCAAAGGGATTTCCTAAGCCCCTAAAACAGTTTTCTGGGGAAATGGGCAAAAACCAGTTCCTTCCACAATCCTTTGACAGAAGCCTCTACTGGATCAAAAACATCCATTAGTAGATTCCCACCATTGGATACAATTCTGACAATTTATTATGAAATGACCTTTCATAGACTTGAGCTTACCCAAATACAACTGTCTGTGGACAGATGCATCATACATATACTTATCAGATGTATATGAATAATATATTTTTCCCTGAAAACCAAACTAAGGTCAGTTGCTTAGTGTTCTGTCAGACACAAGAAGGTTGAAAATATAAATCTCTGTCAAGAAGGTCAGAATTTGTAAAGATTAGCCCAGAGGCAGATGTTTTGATACCAGATGTTTTAAAAAGAAGTGTAGGTCAAGATAAGCATGTACAAAAGAATATTTTCTGTTAAGTAACCATTGCAAAAAGCTAAACATATACATTTGCCATGCATGATGACTGTGGCAGCTGGTCCCCAGTGGAGATGGGCTCACTCAACTGTTAGTGTGTACCTACAATAAAGAATTTTTTAAAATATAAAACTGCTTGCTGGTGTTGCCTGTCTCTCTCATGGTCAGAGAACAAACAAGGGACTTTTTTGTCCTCAAGACACACACACACAAATTTCCAAGAGGGATATTTTGTGACAATGTAAAGATTTTATTCCCAGTTCAGAATTTCTGGAATACAATGACTCTGACCGTCAAGTGCAGAACTGTAATAGTAAACTAGTGCAGCTAGAAATTTAAAAATGCTTAGCTGGTTGTGGAAGGATTGAGAGCAATACATTAAAATCTTGCCTTAATTATGATTCATTCTTAACGTATTCCAGGGAAATTGGATAATGCTCCTCTCCTACCTCCTCTGTGCTCAGTTCAGTCACTTCGGATCTGCTTCCCTCACTGTACATAAAGTATAACGACATTTAGAAAAGGGAAGTGTCGTCCAAACAAAAATATGAACATTCATTGAACATAGCATCATTAGGGTTTAAAGCCTGTAGCAAGGAAGCAGGAAGACATAACAGCTTTAACTTATGTTTTAGATTCCTCATGGAGGTACAATGATGTGTCCAGATCTTCATCTATGGTACTTGGATCATTAGGAACTGAACTTGTGAGAGAGAGGAGAGAGCTAGAAAGAACAGATCCATCTGTTAGTCTTGTGGATTGTAGTCACAGGAATGGTGATTTCCCATCTTCATCATGTATGTATTGGAAACCTGAGAATTTCAGGCACATTGGTTGGTTCCATTTGTAGTGTTCACAGCCAGTCATCTGGCCTTTGTTTAGTTGAAGCCATTGCTCTTGGTTCATACATGTAACTAGGTTGTGCAGTGGTTGCAAGATTCTACTTCAGTTTTATTTTCTAAAGGAACAGTTCTGCATTGTTTCTTTTTATAAGACAAATTATTTTGAAGCTGGTTTATATTTGTGGGCATTTAATGTACTGGTCATATCCCTTTTCACCAGTATCCATTGTCACTAGTTTGGACTAATAAAATAAGTTTACTCACTTGGAGAAGAAACACAGACTTGGAATCAGTTCAGACGTGCAAAAATTTTTTCCACCCAATGTTCATTGACTGGTTTTTCTGGGAAGAGGCTGTGTGGCCTAGATTATTAATGGATAGAGTAACTCAGCATTCCTCAACATGGAACGTTCCAGATGTGTAGGACTGGAACATGATTACTTCCTAGCTAACAAAGCCATTGGTCCTGTTGGATTTGAATTACTTTTCCAATGACTGTGGCACTAATAGTGGAATTACCTTCCAAAGGTTAAAGTCTAGCTAAATTGAAACCAGAACTTGGTGAACTTTTGAATTATCTGTCTGGTTAGCATTGTATTTTCCAATGAAGGAATATTAGTTTTATGTCTATACCTTACATTACACAACTATGCTATTTAACTTCACTTTTAATTAGAGTTACTTTGAATATTACTACTGATTCAGAAATGGCTTGTGCAAGCAAAAAGGCACTTGTGTGAACTAATAGTTCTGATTTCCTTCAATTTCCCTGTCCTGCTGCAGCCCCTCAGTTTTGATCTTTAGGGGCAACTTTGTGAGAGAGGAGCCAGGAAAACCCATTGTGCAAGTAGAATTCTGCTTGTCCATTTCCTGGATCCAACACGTTGGTGTTTAGACAAAAAATTACAAAAACAGTTGCAAGGGAGAAATAACAATTTTCCTTTATTTATTCATTAGGTTAACTCATAACTGATGTTCAATGAAAATTCATGATTAGTATTGGGTTATCCACCTTCCAAAGTTGAATGGCTATTAAAAAGATAATTCCAGTAAAAATGCCTTTCTGTCATATTAATATTATTGGATATGATTGGCTTTTATGGAAGCCAAGTGGACAGCTGCTTCTATAATTGTGATGTTTTGATTGTGGTGTACACCACAATAGTAATACACCACAATTTTGGTTGTGGTGTATTACTATTTATTTATTTCTAGCTTTTATGTACTGCTATTTAGTGAAAGAGCTCTCAGAACAGTTATCTACAGATAACCTTATGTTCATGGTGCCTATAATGGAGATTTATTTTCAAGCTGGTATGTTATAGTAGTTAGTGCCGGAATAACATTGGACAGGCCCAGATTTGGTCACCTGTATGCCACAAAACCCAGTGGACCTTGGGTTGGCAGCTGAGTCTCAGTACTAGCTCGTGGGGTAGGAGAAGGGGTGAACCATGCATGCTGTCATGAGCTCCTAGGAAGAGGGGCAGAATAAAAATTAAGTAAACATTACCATCCATGTTTTCAGGATAATTTGGTTTAAAAAGTTTTTTATGGGGTCTAGTTAATCCAGGTTAGTTTAGTTTAACTCATAATCATATCCTGTGCTGGATTATTATCTTAATAGTTTATGCTTTTTGGTTTCTGTGATTTATGATAGATCTTCAGGAAAGATCTGCTTCTTCATATGCACAGGGAGCAAGACCAAAAGAAAACTCATTGAGTTCTTTGAGGCTGAACACATCCATGAACCGCCAGTTGCCTTCTGAACATCAGTCATCATTACTGTCTAGAGACCATAGCTGGAATTCAAGATCTAACTATGTCTCAAGAGAATTAGAGTCTACTCAAAGGAATATACAGCCAGAGTTTTCCCATGGTGCCATGAGAAGTGGAACCAGTTCCTCAAGCATTTCTGAAAGGGTTATGCCATCCCAAAGGTCATTAAGTGAACCTCCTGCAGATACTGAAGGAAGGCGTACAACTCGGCAACTACTGTCTCGTTTAGCTTCTAGTATGTCTTCCACATTTTTTTCAAGAAGGTCTAGCCAAGACTCTTTGACACCAAGACCTCTAGGTTCTGAAGATTCAACTGTTCCTAGAGCTCAGGGTTATACCCAAGCTAGTGCTATGAACACAGCTACAAATTCTGATGATACAGAAGCTCAGACTCCTGATGTTTCTCAGGGATTTAGCTTTCTTCGAAGACGATGGGGCCTGGCAGGTGTTTCACAAAATTCTAGTAATGATTCGGAAGCTGAAAGTTACCGACATGATTCAGAAAATAGGAATGCAGGTTCTTGGTTGTCATCTTCTCTGAGGAACAGGTGTACACCTTTATTTTCCAGAAGAAGGAGAGAAGGAAGAGATGAAACTGCAAGAACCTCTACCTCTGAAACACCTGCTAGATCACTGCATCTTTTTAGGAGAAGAGAATCTGTTGGGGAGACATCTCTTGAAGCACAAAATGATTCCCCCAGGTCTGCTGCTAGGCCATCAACACCTGCAGTACCTAATGGTGCTACATCTGTTGCCTCGGGGCCAGATTCTGTGCAAGGTAGAAGAAATTCAGGAATATCAGGAATGTTTCCTGGTTCTCTTTTCCGGTTTGCAGTTCCCCCAACACTGGGAAACAACTTGTCTGACAATGTTATGATAACAGTAGATATTATTCCCTCAGGCTGGAATCAACCTGGAGGAGAAGATAGTGACAAATCTAAAATACCACCTTCAAGAGATCCTGAAAGGCTTCAAAAAATTAAAGAAAGGTAACACATAGATTTTTAATGAAGTTTTCATAAAATTGAAAGAAGATATTGATCTGTTTTGTACAATACACTAGGCTCACTATGGATTATTTAACCCACAACGAGCCATGGTGTGCATGGGCACATGAAGCTACCATTATGAAGATGCAACCCATGATAGGGTTGTGGCTTGTTGACTAAATCTGGCCACATTAAACCATGCTCATGTCACCCTTGGTTTGTAGTATAAACCACATGTACCATGCAAGTCCACATGTACCATGCAATCTTCAACTTTCCTTTGGAAAAGATACAACTTTCCTTGAGCAGTTAATTCACATAGGTTGGGTTGTGCATGCCCGTGCGTGTGGGTGTGAGAGGAAAAAAAGTCAATTCTTCTCTGTGCAGCTGTCTCCACCATTCCTAGAGTTCCACCAATTCCTAGGAGTAAGCTTTTGGAAGGGAATACAATACTGTATACGGAAGAAAGGGTGGGGCTCTTTTATGTTCATGTAAAGAAATTTGCAATCTCAGCCTATGTTTCTGGGGACAGCATAAGACTCTTCTCTATGTGGCATTCCTGCAGCATCACTGACAACTTGGATTGGGAGAACTGTTTATCCGTTGCAATATTGATTACTGTCTTAGATAATATGATTAATATTTAAATATTTGGAATGCTTATTTCAGTTCTACAGATTAATCCCCCTTTCCCATTTTAGTCTCCTTTCAGAAGACTCAGAAGAGGAAGAAGGGGACTTATGTAGAATTTGTCAGATGTCATCCACATCTGCTACTAACCTCTTAATAGAGCCATGTAAATGCACTGGAAGTCTGCAGTATGTTCACCAAGAGTGTATGAAAAAGTGGCTACAGTCCAAGATTAATTCAGGTAAGGGAGTGGTTTAGAATAGTATACAGGAAACAGATAATGGCTTAGACCCTGAGTTGTTTTTTAATGAACAGAAGGACTTCCAATCTCATAGAAGCTACTGTAAATGGAAGGTGGAGTGGATCATTTAATGAAAGCAGTGGGAGAGACTGCGTAGCAGAAGCTATCTATTGTAGAGAGAGACTCCTTACTTTTGAGAGAGAGAGAGAAAGTTTTTTGGAAACGAGAATACCTTGTAGCAATATAAGAAGGGGTACAGTAATTTTATACTGTGGGCTCTGCACCTTACCTGAAGCAGCTTGTGCCACTCATTGGAATTGCATAAAATAAGGGGAAAGGGCTCCCTTACAAATTGGAGATTACAGTGAGGTGATAGGGAAAGCCATGTACGTATGACAAATGTTGGCTCCTGGCTCAAGCACTGGGTGTAAGATCTATTGGGATCTTTGGTTATAGAACAACTGAGGTAAGGTGTGGCCATGCCTAGTCCCCTGCAGCTCGCCCTTGGAGGCTATTTGGTCACTGGTTCCTGTATTCTGTGTAGTTAGGTTTACATTTGTGTATGCAAGGGTAACCTAGCTGAACCATTGTTCCATGTTGTGCTTTCACATACCTGAGTGATGTCTACTTAGTTTTTCAGGAGTATTTTCTGTTCTATTAGTATAACTGTTCTATTTTCTTAGGTTCTTCTTTGGAAGCAGTAACCACTTGTGAGCTGTGCAAAGAGAAATTGCATCTCAATCTTGACAATTTTGATATCCATGAGCTTCATAGAGCACATGCAAATGAACAAGTTAGTATATTTTGGCTAATTTGGTAAGTGTCAGTTTAGTGCTGTGACTCAGGACAACTTTTTTCCCTAGAAGAAAACATTTGTTTAGGTCAAATTTTAATTGTATAATCACCTTGTAGAACACATTCTGTCCTTTGCTTCAGGTGTGTGTTTATAAAGGCTGGGTTATATGTGTTTCATAGTGATCAGTTGTTTGTCTTGAGGCTTGGAAAAAGATGAAATAGAAACTGATATAAATAGGAAGCCATAATGAACATTGATAAACTTACCCCACTTGCTGTCTTATTTGAGTAAGGAGTCTTGAGAGTTAAAGGGCAGGCACTATTTTTTCAGGCAGACACAAACTATATTTTGGCAGTACAATGGATTTTTGTCTCTGAAGAGGACTGTAGGATACAATCTTATGACTCTCTTGAACATGAGTCATAACTATGCTATGTTGTTATAACAGGACATATGATCTGATGCTGTGTTTCTATTTGTAAGTAAGGCAATACATAGTCAGTAGGAAAAGATTCTTTGTATTGCTGCATCCGTATCCATCACCATTGTTTCTTGATGACACCACAAATAATTCTCCCTCCCCTGCTACATTGTGCCCCTGTCATCTTAATACTGGCGCAAACTTACAAAAAATGCATAGCAAAAGGGTGGAAAGGAAGTGTGATAGTTTTGAGAGCCTTTGTGGGAAATGGTGTGGGAAAACAGGCCAATTAGCTGGTGATAGTAGTAATGTATTCACTCAGATCCTTGCTATTAGTAGTGGCTGAGCTGCAAGACTTGTACATCTTAATAGAAAAAGTAGGATACTTTCATCTTGTATATTCAGTACTATATAAATACTAAGTAGTATGAAGCTTTCAATATGAGTTTGTATACTTGTATTTTACTTTGCTTCTGCTTTTTCATACTTGCTGCTTAGTTAGTGTAAACCATCCATGTTTAAATCATTGGAGCTTAAGGTCTGAATGTTTATCTAGGGCACCTTTCTTTAGCAAAAAGGAGCCCATAAGATTTGCTGCTAGTTATAAAGATCTTAAGCTTCATCTTTTCAAGATGGCTACTTAAGCATAGAGGTAGCCAATTTATTGAGAGATAAACTTGGGAGTCAGATCTATCTAGTCAGAGCAGTTATTTAAAGTGCAACCATGTTAAGATCTGAGTCTTCAATAGAAATTACTGAAAGAAGAGCATACCTGCATATATGTACTGGGACAAAATAATCAGTAAAATGTAGTACCAGTTGTGCATTTCAGACATGTTTGACTTGATAATGCCCTCTCTTCCTAGGCAGACTATGAATTTATCAGTTCTGGGCTTTACCTTGTAGTGTTGTTACACTTGTGTGAACAGCGCTTTTCAGACATGCTGGGAACTACAAGTGAGGCCAACACACGAGTTCGGGTAAGTGGTGTGAGCTGCTTCTGTGGGAGAGGCTGATTATGACGCCTGTTAAAGCATGCTTTTCATATTTCCTCAAAATTTACATTAGCCAGGATCAGATGGCCATGTTTCCAACTGTGGCTTTCTGCCCATTCCTGCTTCAGTCCCTCTTGTCTTACAAACACTGCTTGTAAAGGACAGACTACCCTCTGGAGCCACTGGTAGTTCAGGGAATGCAACTAGTGTGAGAAACCAATGTGACACGGTCGAACAGAGAAATTCTTCTGCTTGCATGTAGGGCCCTCTGGTTCATTTGATCGATTGGTAACTTCCCAGAGTACTGTGTAACACCTAATTAATTTTAAAGCATACTGGGACAGACAACACAAAACAGGCATTGGGTGCTCCCTGAGTGTAACTTGATCTCTCAAGATTATGTTGAGAGCTACAGTACTGACAAACTAAACCAGAGGATAAATTCCATACATTTTCATTTTCTGAAAAAACTATCTTAAGCTAGTGGGCATTGTTGTAGCCTATTGTTGTCTGTTTTTCTGAACTAGATATTCACAAACAGCCTCTGATTGCAGGAAAATTGCTCCAACTCTTTATTTTTGTTGCCTCTTCTGAACATTTTCTATATCTTCATACTTTCTTTGAACAAATCTGAACATGACACATTTCCTTACCCTGACCATTAAGAATTCCTAGAATAGTACCTGTTTGGGAAAGGATTTTCTTTTAGTTATTTGATTCTTCTAGATATTTATATACTATAATAAAGTTCTCAGTCTGGCTAGTTCCATCAGGAATGACAAAATAGATACAGGTTAATTAAAGCTACCTTTTCACTTCTCCATGACCCTTTACTTAATTAAAGGCATTTCCTCTTCCTAATACTAGATTTCATTTTGTTAGATCAACTAAGCAGATTTTTCTTGAAATCTTGCAAGTTCAAAGGGTGTCCTTCATATTCAAGCAACCCAAATTCAAAAAATTTGAATAGTTCTAGTTCAGGGTTTGAAAATATGCATAAGTATTTCAGTGAACTGTACATGCTCATCTTTCTTATATGATAACCTGTCTGAAATTTCCAAATGGACCTTTATTCCGTGTATTTAGAGTTCATACAGTACCGTTCTCCTGCATGCAAGTAATACCTAGCTGTACACTCAGCTGTACACTCCCAGGCACTTTAATAGAGAAGTGAAACCTGCTGGATCACAGTTGGACAGCAGCCATTCCATGATGGCAACAGGCTTTTTTCTAACTTATGCACTTACTAAGAGATGCTGACTATAGTTCTGATCCCTTCAGCTCACATATTTTTTCTATATATGGAGACAGTTCCTGGAGACAATTGGACTGCTCACATGTAGATGAAAAATGAGGAATGTCTTAAATTTCTGAAGGGCAACAATGGCATTTATAGAGGTTTAAAATCCTTGGTGATCTACAACATTTAAAACTGCCTTCTTTCTGTATTGCTTCTAGTTTATTAATCTTGCAAGAACTCTTCAGGCACACATGGATGATATTGAAAGTAGGTGGCTTTCCCTTGCTTAGTTTTACTTCAAAGTTAAAAGAACCAAGGAATAAACTCATCTGTTTTGAAATGTATAGCACTAAGTATTCAAGTGTTTGAGACTACCTGTAATGTTCATGTATTTGTGACTGGAACACCAAATAAAAATGAAAGAATGAGGTTTATGTCAAATTTTAGCATCTTGTAAAGGTGAAAGGAGGACTTCAGAAATACCTTTCAAACAAAATACCTCAGGCAAAGTGCTTTGAAGCATTCAGGCTACACTTTGCATTCTCTTGCTACATGTTAGAGGAATTTAAAGGGCAAAAGAATAGGTGACATAATCCAGTTAGAGTATGAAAAACTCTATATTAAGCACATACTTAGTTGAAATCACTGGATTGTAAAGTGTTTAATTTGGGCTAGATTTTGGCCCATAAACCATATCAGTGTAGCCAAGACAAGCAGGTGAATGTCTTTGTTTACTAGATTTTGCAAATGGCTTTCAAGTGGAAATAAGAAATGTAATTAGTTGACTGCCTAGGAGGAGCATACTTGTTTTTCTGGAAGTATATGCTTTCAACAAAAGAAGTATCCTTTTGAGATTGTTCCATTTAAAGATATCCCACTGCTGTATAATATATGTTTGCTATTAGCTATTAAGCTTTCCCCCATATATTTTTTGGATCCTGGCTGTATTAGTCTGTAAGGACAAGCTGTATTTTATGCTTCTAGGATGATACATTACACAAATCAGTCTCAGGCACTTATCTCTTGGGATCCTTGAGCGTGTATCTACAGTTGCTTGGCACTACTGGCTATTGTGCTTTTTGTTAGAGGAATGGTAAGTGGGAAATTAGGAACAGGGAGCATATATAGTTATGTTACATCTTGTTCCCAGAGACCTGACTGCAAGTATATATGCCCACCCCACTTTTTTTGTTCCCAATGAATAGGCATCCCAACATTCCTTGATACCAGCTGATATTGATCTTGGCCAAGCTGGACACAGCAGGAGCAAGGAATTTGTGAGCTGGCCCATAAAGCAGAACTTTCCCAATAATTGTGGGGAAGGACTTACATTTGTAGGGGGTATGACCAGGATCCAGGTACCATTCCATCCCCCATGGAACAATAATATATCCTGTCTAAATCTGTCTTCAGTAGTTGCCAGTCTTCTTTCTGCTTTTCTGTTGTTTATTCTTCTTGGCCTCTGTTCCAACAGATGACTACTGTAATAACTCAAACCCTGTTTATTAAACACATTTGATTGATAAAATTTCTTCCACTTAGGAATTTTGCCTTCCAGTTCAAGGAGCTTTGGGAATATCTAGACTGTTGATACACATTGGGAGAATATGGATGGTACTTTTAAAAGTTTTTATGTCCCATGTCATTTAATATGGGAGATTCCATAATAATCATAATTATGTATTTAATGGCTTTTCTTAGAAACTGTCCCTATGCTAGTGCTAAAGAAGCCTTTTGATGTTGTTAGTAATATTTCTATAGTGCCATCCATAAACATGCAGTTGAACATAAAACCAAAGTAAAATCACACATGATGCAGAATTTCTTTTATTGCACAGATAACAGTTTGGCCTTTTGCCATTTCTGAGCTGTAAAGTACAAAGTAGAATTCAGGAACAGTCACTGGTCACCTCTGCACTATACAGTCAAAAAATGAAAGCATATAACCCTGTCCATGTGACTAAAAAACTTCTGTTGCTTTTCACTCTATATCCATGTGCATATTAAAAGCTGATTTTATTTTAACATAAGTACATATAGTATATGTGTGTGTCTTTCCATTTTTAATTCTAGTGATAACGGGGGTGGGATATTTAAATCAAATAGATTTAAATCATGGTTTTTTACATAAAGACTCATTCTTGGTGGTAAAATCTTAATATTTACAATCAGATGAAAGTTTCATTTTTAGAATAACAAATTTTCAGATTAGTTTTACCATTATATAAATACTGATTTGGTTATACTATTAGAACCACACCATAGATAGATAATTATGAAAGCATTGCAAGGTGTTTTCATTTTGCATGCATGCCTGCCTTACTCATAGGTATGAATATCCCATATTCATTAAAATATTCCCAAACTAGGAATATCTCTTAAGGCCTGCTGCCATTATAGGTTTTCCTTTCCAGGGAAAGAATAATAAGATAAACCTTAGGCTAGACACAAAAAGATTCAAAGACTTGCACAGTATTCTGCTCAAAAGGTTTCACTTACATTTTTACAGCTTGCCCATCCTTCCTCACACTTAGCTTCTTGTGCAGATCTATTCCATTCCCAACAATCTTCTTCTATTCATTGATTTGTTTGAAAATTAGCACTTAAGACGTGAAGGGTTGATACTGTGTACATAAATTTGCAAAGGAACAATGGGATTAAGGTCTTTTTCTCAACTCTGTATGTTTATTTTATAACATTTTTGCTGTGAAGAAGACACGTGTGATCTCTGCCGATGCAAACTCACAGTTTTGAGAACTGTAAAACCAAGCATCTGTGATTATATCTTCTAGATAGAAAAGTTGCCCAATAATCTTACAAAAACTTCTGGAAGTGCATGACATTGTGAATGGATTAATGGAATTCATTTACCAAAAAATTTAAACATTGCATGAATATGCAGCCTCATGCTTCATAATTAAAAAAATTAATCCTTATTTCATGATGAATAACTTTTGGACTTAATGTATCTTATCTTAAAGATAGAAAACCATCTTTAGCATATTATTTAAACAATCCAATTTAAATGTTAAAAATCTGTTTGAGATTTTTTTTTAATCATTGGTTTTTATCCACCCTGAAAAATAAGATTGATATGTGTGGTGAAACAAGACTGTGGCTTTCAGTTTAGTAACAATCCCAATTCGAAAATTACATACCCCATATTAAATAATGCATATGCCATACGCAAGTGATAAATTTCCCATACCATAGGTTTTTAGAAAGAATTTTGATTATGTCCTATACTTCCAGCAGCTTCAGATGATGATGATTCTGAAGATGGAGATCTCAGCAGAACACTTGATGCTGCATAAATGCGAACAGAGGGACTGGATGCTCAGCTGACACAAGTACCATCATTATTATTTTTATTTAGTAAAATACAGTGATTACTATTAGATTGCTCAGTTCAGAACCTGCTGTTGCATGCTGGTATCCAGAGACCTGAACCTTCAATCTGCAAGAGTGTGTTGTTTCTCCTTTGAGATTATGACATGTATGCCTTCTAAATACCAGATTTTTATGTGTAAGGAAGATTTCCTTTTGTATAAACTTCTTACAGTAATCAGTTAAAAGTTCTGGGAAACATTTCTCAAGTTTTGATCTTCTACTGGCACTATGTGGTAATATTAAGTGTATTTGCAAGTTCAAGTCATGGGGATTGTTCTGTGTTAGCTTTCCATTTAAAAACACCTCTGGGAAGACTCATCACTTTGCTTCCAGTGTTAACAACCTAGATTGAATGAGGGTATGAATGGGTTCTGTCAAAATTAGTGTTAAGTTTCTAAGTTTTTTTCTTGAGGAATGTTTAACTCAAAGCAATAAACTTGCAAGGGGCTACTAATAAGTGTTAATGACGGCTTTTATAAATTGCGGATTATATTTGATAATATTATGTAGAATTTCCAATATGGATTTACAGCTGTAAACACTGGCATTTCAGCATTCCTGGAAGGAATAAAACTTATGGTTTAGAATCTTAACCAAGTTATTTATCTTAATGAACCTTTTTTAGAACCCACATTCATTGCTGAAGCACTGGTTATCAATGTGTTTTCTAGTGTTGTCACTTGTTAAATAAAAATTACAATGCATTTCATTTGTCTGCTTCTTTAAAAATCTACTGAATCCTAAACATGGTAGAATACAGCATGTTTAAACTTATAAAATTCTGCTGCAGTGGTCCTTGTCTTTTTGGGACTTTTTCTCAGTTGAGTAATTTGGTGCTAATTAGAAATCTCTTGGGGTGGAGCAGTAATAGAGGGTGGTCATTTCAGTGCTGATGCTCATCTTAAAGCACAGAAGATCCTTGAATACCATTCCTTACTGGCAGCATTTTACCTTTTGGGTTATATGGCACATGGTATTCTTACTCCTGAGTTGTAGTCATATAAGGCACAACTATGCTGCCCTAAAATTCCTTACGACTGAATACTTTAAATGAATTTAAACACTCCCACAGAGCAGCTTGGGATCCTGAAGCAGCAGTGCAGTTTCAGGTAACTGTTGGTGTGCCATTCCAGCTAAAGTAAATTATGGAATCCCTCATCAAAAGTCATTCTTTTTTATTATTTATTTTTTACAGTGCAAGACAAAAACAAACTGCACCATAGGAAAAAAGTAAAGAGGGGAAAGGGAAGAACATATTTGAATAGTATTTAAAAATTATTACATATATTCCCTTTATATTAGTATATAGCAGAATATATTATAATAATTAAAATAATAATACTTATATTCTGACAAAGGCCCTCCAAATATCTAGATTACACCTAGAATAGAAAATTTCATGAAATCTTCCACCCATAAATGACAGGGAGTCATTTATCCTTCCAGTGTTGTTGCAATATTAGTCTTTTAGTTGTCAAAAAGCCACCAAAAGCCAATTTATGTTAACCTTGAGTTAGAGTCCTTCTTCCCACTACAGTGTTGGATAAACATTTGGGGTAGCTTTTCACGGAGGGAAGAAGAGAGGCTGGTATTGTTTTCATAAGACTACACTCCAGTTTGCTAGATTGTTTGACCTTAGTGCATCCATAAAGATGTGAAAGCATAGAGGTTGAGAGAGAACTCTGTCAGAGATCTCATGGGAAAGGAGCAGTTGTCTCCTAGCACTACCTTTTAAACCTTTTCTGCAGGAGAATAGGAACTGAGTTTCACTGGAAACACCCACTATCTCCAATCCATGCTAGTATTTCATAAACATAAGTTGTCCTAGTAACTATCCACTGAGCCTGGAGTAAATCTCTACAGCATCATAAAAAGCTGCAGGGAGCAGAGGAAAAGCTGTGCTGTGCAAATAGAAGCCACAAACAATTCAGATTTTTTAAAAAGCAAATTATTAAAACTTAGCACAGGACTTTGTTGTTGTTAGTCGTGAAGTCGTGTCCAACTGACCCATCGCGACCCCATGGACAACATTCCTCCAGGCCTTCCTGTCCACCATCCCCTGGAGTCCACTTAAGCTCACACCAACTGCTTCAGTGACTCCATCCAGCCACCTCATCCTCTGCCATCCCCTTCTTCTTTTGCCATCTATTGTTCCCAGCATTAGGCTCTTCTCCACTCCTTCTCATTAGGTGGCTAAAGTATTTGAGTTTCATCTTCAGTATCTGGCCTTCTAAAGAGCAGTCAGGGTTGATCTCCTCTAGGACTGACTGGTTTGATCGCCTTGCGGTCCAAGGGACTCGCAGGAGCCTTGTCCAGCACCACAATTCAACGGCCTCAATTATTTGGCGCTCAGCCTTCCTTATGGTCCAGCTTTCACAGCCATATATTGCAATTGGGAAAACCATGGCCTTGACTATACGCACTTTTGTTGGCAGGGTGATGTCTCTGCTTTTAGTATGCTGTTTAGATTTGCCATAGCTTTCCTCCCCAGGAGCAAGCATCTTTTAATTTCTTGGCTACAGTCCCCGTCTGCGGTGATCTTGAAGCCCTGGAAAATAAAATCTGTCACTACCTCCATTTCTTCTCCATCTATTTGCCAGGAAGTGGCAAATAGACCAGATGCCATGATCTTAGTTTTCTTAACGTTGAGTTTCAAGCCAACTTTTGCACTCTCTTCCTTCACCCACATCAAGAGGCTCTCTAGTTCCTCTTCACTTTCTGCCATTAGAGTGGTATCATCTGCATATCTGAGGTTGTTGATATTTCTCCCAGCAATCTTAATTCCAACTGGTGATTCCATCTAGTCCCACCTTTCTCATGATGTGCTCTGGATATAAGTTAAATAAGCAGGGCGACAGTATACAGCCTTGCGGAACTCCTTTCTCAATTTTAAACCAATCAGTGGTTCCGTGTCCAGTTCTCACTGTTGCTTCTTGACCCGCGTATAGGTTTTTCAAGACAAAAATAAGATGGTCTGGTACTCCCATCTCTTTAAGAACTTGCCACAATTTGTTGTGATCCACACAATCATAGGCTTTAGCATAGTCAATGAAGCAGAAGTAGATGTTTTTCTGGAACTCCCTAGCTTTCTCCATGATCCAGCGTATGTTGGCAATTTGACCTCTAGTTCCTCTCCCTCTTCGAAATCCTGCCTGTACTTCTGGTTGTTCTTGGTCCACATACTGCTGGAGCCTAGCTTGTAGGATTTTGAGCATCACTTTGCTAGCATGTGAAATGAGTGCAATGGTGCGGTAGTTTGAACGTTCTTTGGCATTGCCCTTCTTCGGGATCGGAATGTAAACTGACCTTTTCCAATCCTGTGGCCACTGTTGAGTTTTCCAAATTTGCTGGCATATTGAGTGTAGCACTTTTACTGCATCGTCTTTTAAGATTTTGAATAGGTCAGCTGGAATACTGTCACCTCCACTAGCTTTGTTGTTGCTCAGACTTTCTAAGGCCCATTTGACTTCACATTCCAGGATGTCTGGCTTGAGGTCAGTGACCACCCCATCGTGGTTATCAGGGATGTTAAGCTCTTTCTTGTATAGTTCTTCTGTGTAATCTTGCCACCTCTTCTTAATCTCTTCTGCCTCTGTTATGGCCCTGCCATTTTGGTCCTTTATCATGCCCATCTTTGCATGAAACGTTCCCTTCGTATCTCCAATTTTCTTGAAGAGATCTCTGGTCCTCCCTGTTCTATTGTTTTCTTGTATTTCTTTGCACTGTTCATTTAAGAAGGCATTCTTACCTCTTCTAGCTATTCTCTGGAATTCTGCATTCAAGTGGGTGTATCTTTCTCTTTCTCCCTTGCCTTTCTCTTCCCTTCTTTCCTCAGCTATTTGTAAAGCTTCCTCGGACAGCCATTTTGCTTTCTTATATTTCTTTTTCTTTGGGAAGGTTTTAGTTGCTACCTCTTGTACAATGTTGTGAACCTCCATCCATAGTTCTTCAGGCACTCTGTCTATCAGATCTAATTCCTTAAATCTATTTGTCACCTCTACTGTATGTTCATCAGGGATATGATTTAGGTCATACCTGAGTGGCCTAGTGCTTTTCCCTACTTTCTTCAATTTAAGCCTAAATTTTGCAACGAGCAGCTCATGATCTGAGCCACAGTCAGCTCCTGGTCTAGTTTTTACTGACTGTACAGAGCTTCTCCATCTTTGGCTGCAGAGCACATAGTCAGTCTGATTTCTGTGTTGACCGCCTGGTGATGTTCATGTGTAGAGTCGTCTCTTGGGTTGTTGGAAAAGAGTGTTTGCTATGACCATTGTATTCTCTTGACAAAATTCTACCAGCCTGTGCCCTGCTTCATTTTGTACTCCAAGGCCAAACTTGCCTGTTATTCCAGTTATCTTTTGGCTTCCTACTTTAGCATTCCAATCCCCCATGATGATACGGACATCATTTTTGGTGTTAATTCTAGAAGGTGTTGTAGGCCTTCATAGAACCGGTCAACTTCAGCCTCTTCAGCACCAGTGGTTGGGGCATAGACTTGGACTATTGTGATGTCGAATGGTTTGCCTTGGATTCGAACTGAGATGATGCTGTCATTTTGGATATTATATCCCAGTACTGCCTTTCCTACTCTTTTATTGACTATGAAGGCTACTCCATTTCTTCTGAGGGATTCTTGCCCACAGTAGTATACCTGATGGTCATCTGAATTAAATTCACCCAATACTGTCCATTTTAGTTCACTGATTCCTAAGATGTCAATGTTCAGTCTTGTCATCTCCTGTTTGACCACATCCAGCTTGCTTTGATTCATGAACCTTACATTTTAGGTGCCTATGGAGTATAGATCTTTGCAGCATCGGACTCTCCTTTCACCACCAGATACATTGGCAATTGAG